CAAGCTAGATTAAAGTGATTATTACGTTTTGAATACGGATATTTTCTTACAAAAACGCATCGATTCGCTACAGGAGGCCTTTGATGCATGCAACACCCGCTGAGTGGCATTAAACAGCTTGAAAGATCAAAGACCATTTTTAATATAACTCCGACTGGATTCGTCTGAAAGAAGAAAGTCATATACACCTAGGATGACTTGAGGGTGAGTAATTAATTGGCAAATTTTCATTTTTGGGTGAACTAACCCTTTAAGTGAACGTAAACAGTTGGGAGAATATCAGATGTGTGTCAGTATATTGCATCCGTGCATTTGGTTTTAAAGGGAAAGCAGCCTAATTTAGTTGCTGCTGTCTGTGTCATTAATATCAATCAAACAACAAAAAAAAGAGAGAAAATCACTCACTGCTCTTGACTGAATCCCTTTAGTAGCCCTAATAAGGATTAATCTAAAATTAATTTATATTAATAAATATGTCTGCTTGAAAGAATGAAGAATGTTGTAAGTAAGCAAGTTGTTATAAAGAATTCATATTATATAACCATTGGTATTTCATTAAAAACAAGACCATGTTCTTGTTTCTTTATTAGTCATTTTATTTCATTTTAAGATATAAGGCATGTTATGTGTCACAACAGTTATATCTGCGTCTATATGTTCAATCCTTAATATCATTCATATTAACAGGTTAATCAATGTTTTATCCAGGAATATATAATGAGTTTGGAAATTTTAGAGAAATGCTTAGTGCATTACACTACAAAATCTTATGATATTTAGTTGACTAAAACACTAAAACTAAAACAATTCAGATGACTAAAATTTAACTAAAACTAAATGGCATTTTTGTCAAAAGACTATGACTAAAGCTAAATCAAAATGTATTGTCAAAATTAACACTGCAGTTGATTTCAGTAGAATTTGATGTTAGCACAAAGCACAACTCCAGCTTTACATCAGGCAAGGAACAGCAAGACTGAATTGAATTGAAAATCACTGAATTTTTGCTTCAGCTTTGCTGACGTTCTGCTTTGTGCATAAAATAGTCAAAATATTGGTAACAGCATTCCCAGTGCTGTCTAGTTGAAGGAAAATCCCCACTCTGCTTTAAACTGTTTGGATGGTAAGTTTAGCATCTTTCTCCAGTTAATATAGGTGTAGACTGTCTCAGATTAAACACTCTGATCCATTAGCTGATGTGACAGAAAGTGAGTGGCAGAGTGTGTGTGTGTTTGTGTTTGAGAGTGATTGATAGACATGAGACAGCTGGAGGGACAGATGGGAGGGAAGCACCGATCAGAGTAGTGGGCTCCATCTCTCTTTTCAACTCCACCACTGTTTCGTGGATACAAAAACATAGCTGTGGCCTCCCAGAAGTCAAAACCATCCATATGTGTGCAACTTGAAAGACAAAAATAATTGGTTTAAATGTGAAGCGAATAATTTCTGCCTCTAGTCACATCAGACAGAAGTGGTTTGAGCGAGCATTGGGAGACGGGAAGAGTTGTTTAGAAACAGTCATTGTTTTTTAAATTGCATGCTTTAAATACATGCTAGATGTAGATTGTGGACATTGAGGACAGATGAGACATGTGAAAGAAGCCGTCTATGTGAAACTAGAGCGGCCACGTCTGAGCAGGGGGATGTGTCCAGATGCTCCAGAATCAACTTCTAAAGCAGTTCAGCGTTTGGGATTATTCATATAGCAGCAGTTCATGCTGATCTGGGGTCAGTATTTATCTGTCATAACTTGATAAATAAGATGATAGGGGTGGCTGGAGATGATTTTAGGCCACTACACTTCATCTAAATCACATTATATGTACAAAATGTGGACTTGGCTTTGGATCTGCTCACCTTCATGTTAATCATCAGTGGGAAAACTGATCATAATCAGTTTTAAGCCAGTTGCACACTGTATGATTTTACCACTGATTTTGGTGCCCAAGTCAAAGTACACTGCTTTTCAAAAGTTTGAGGTTTTTAAAAGATGCTCACCAACACTGCATTTATTTGATAAATAAAGAAAAATACAGTAAATACATGTAATTTATTCCTATGATGGCAAAGCTGATTTTTCAGCAGCCATTACTCCAGTCTTCAGTGTCATATGATCCTTCAGAAATCATTCTAATATGCTGAAACATTTTCTTCTTATTGTGGAAACCATGATACATTTTGATGAAAAGAACAACTTTTATTTAAAATATAATATCATTAATTTACTGTCACTTTTGGTAAATTTGTTGCATCCTTGCTGAATAAAATAAAATAAAATTAAAAATCAATCAATCAATCAATCAATCAATCAATCAATCAAGCTTCCTTCTTCCTGACCACATTACTGACTATTGCACAGTCTGACTAAAAGGTTGCATGGGTCAAACATGATTATACAAATTTTTAAACTATGATTACCATTTATAACATTAACAACCACTGTTTTTCTCTCTGTGCCATATGTGTTTTAACTTGCATTCTTTACTAGTGGTT